CGGGAGGAATTCCCTGCTGGACTCAGGCGCCAGCCTTGGGAAGTTCAGGAAGGAAAAGAAAATATAGCTGGAAACTGCAGGGAGAAACAGAGCTAGGGAGGGCAGATGGCAAGACCCCATTGCTCTCATCCAGCCCACAGCCCACCYAGGGCCCCAGAGCGGGTGTCCTCGAGGCCAAGGGAGCCGATGGCTCCTTCACCTCCCAGCCCGGCTGGCGMTGGGCCACGCGGCGCTGCTCCCTCTCAAGGGAAGGGAGCGGGTTGCCTTGTTTCTTATAACCCTCCACTTACAGTTTTTGGTAACTACCAGCTAAGGCCAAACGAGATCCCACAACAAAAGTTCCAGGCCTTGCATTCGTCTCCTCACTGCTTCCTTGAGCCAGTTCTTGTTTTATTCAGACTTACGGTACTTTCATCCACTTACCTTGCAGTATATAACAACCACCATAATTACTGGCAATAATGAGCTTGTTAATTCTCCTCTGTGCTCTTTTCACGGAGTGACTGCTACCTTTTTTAGGGCAAGGATGGAGAAGCTGAGGCAAGAAGAGTTATTAGGCTTGCTTTCTTTTTAATTGTTTAATCCTTTGCTGGTTTTGTTTGTACAAGTATTTGCTTCTTAGCGTGCTTTCTGTTATTTTCTTGTTKTGATTTTCCAGTAATATTGTATGTTATTGTTTTGGCAGGTAGTATTTAGAGGCAGCCGTGTTGTATATGTTGTGTGTGTACGAACTGAGGTTAACTTAAGATGACCTAAGTACTTTTAGAAAATGAACTAATGCTGAAATCTTTATTGTGTGTATTTTTACCTTGATCTGTCTTATCCCTATCTCCTTTTTTTTTTTTTTTTTTTTCCTCACTCATTTTAAATGGCTTGCTTTCTTGGAATTGCAAGTAACATCTCATCCTGCTTCTTTTATTTTCCTCATACTTCAGCACATATTTAAGTCTCTAATGTGAAAAGCTAATTGGATATGACTTTCTAAGATAGAAAGAATTAAGGTATCCTGCTGGTTGTGGAACTTGTAGGATAAGTTTCACTAATATATTGATTAATTATGTCTATCTGCAATTCATATTAAGGCTCTATATGCTGTTTTGGTAGAGTTTACCAAAGGGGAGATGTTTTCTGCTGTTCAGATAGGATAGACATTGTCTTCACTGAATTCATCCTAAGGACATAGAGAGCCGGAGCAGAAGGGAAGCTGCATGAAAAAAAAAAAAAAAGAAAGAAAAAGAAAATTTTCCTTTGGCATTTTCCTTTGTCAGCTTTCTCTGTTGCTTARCTAAAAGCAACTAATTGATCCATATGATATACTCACTGGAGTACCAAATAACTACCCAATCTTTTACCTTCTATCTCCCAGGCTGTGATCCAGCAAGCACGTGGGCTTAGTTTTACTATGGTGAGCAGTACAGTGAGGTTTTGGTGGAACTATGTGCTATATAAAACTAAGCACACATGCAACTATTGGTAGGATCAAATCTCCAGATAGGAACTAGTGTCACGAAACTTTTATTTGAAACATCTGCTTTGCTCCGAGCTTGTTGTTTAGTAAGGGCCAGACTTTTAAAAGCATTTAGGGTGTTTATGTGCACCTTGGTGTCTTTATAAAGCTGGCACTAATTCCTTATTGGAGTATGGATTAAGGGTCTCCAGAGACCCTGCAAACCTTATATAGACTTATTTGAGTCAACTTTTAATTCTAAGTCAACTTTAAAAAAAGTTAAAATTAATCTCAGCTGTGTGAAAAAACAGTGAAGTGAGGGAAACAGTTGATCTGACAAAATAAATTGAGGTAATACAAGACTTCTGTAACAGAAATATTTCTGGGAATGTTAGTAGCAATAAGATTTTAGGAAAAACAACCTCTGAGAATCATTTGTACTTTCTAAGGTGATGTTCTTACTGGATTGCTCTCGCAAGGATCCCTCTGCCATCCTTTCTAAACGCACAGATTTACGCCCTGCCGATGTCTGCGTGATTTTTACAGGACGACGACGACACGCAGGATCTGCAAGCGCTTTTGGAGCAGTTTGAGCCTAACCCGACTTGCATTTTCCCTTTCACGCTGGCGGGGCGGACAGAGGACTGGGCTCTTGCCTGAAACACGGCGCAGAGAGAAGCCGAAGCGCGGCCGGGGAGCTGGAGGGAGCTGCTGGCGGGCTGCGAAGCCCAGGTCCCTCTGCTCTCCCCGAGTATCCGTGCCCGCACCAGGCTCTTCCCAGGCACCTGGTGCAAGTCTCGGGGGCAGAACTGCAGAAAACTCAGTTCTCAGTGTGGGTGGGAAGGAGGAAAGAAGGGGGGAGGTGGAAGGAAGGGAGCACTCCCCGCCTCAAAGGCCTCACAGATCCCGAGCGGTGAGGAACGAGGCGAGGGCTCGGACCCCCTCCCTGTTCGCGTTTTAAAAACCACAAAAACCAGCACGCAGAAGAGAGGCTTGTTTTGTTTTTCACTGGGGCTCCGTGTCAGCGCCAGGCTGACGCGCAGGGCTCCCGCGCTCTGCCAATGTCCCGCACAGACTGAACAAAACCACTCTTTTTTTTTTAATTAAAATAAAGGTGTGCGGCCCCACTTCCCCCTTCCGCCCTCATGGCAGCCACCAAATAAACGGAGGCCCAAACGCAGAGCGCGCTTGGAGGGCGAGTTAATAACGGCAGGTAGGGCCGGCAAGGGGTCTCTCCCGGCCCGGGGAGCCCGGCCCCGGCCGCGGGCCGCGCCGGGCCCCAACATGGCCGGGCCCGGCCGGGGCTCGAGCCTCCCGCGCGGGGCCCGTTGCGGCGCGGTTTTCTGGCAGAAACACCGTTYTTTTTCTGTCGGGGTGACGTAGCCCGCGGCGGGCAGGACACTGCGGGGTGTATGTGGGGCTATACAGGGAGAATTTGGGGAACTGGGTGCTCGCCGCGCCCCAGCCCCGC